ATTTCCAATAATAATAAATACCCCAATGAATTACCTCGGAATAATCATCAGGTTTGAGTCCTGAATAGTGATGACAGTCGTATTTTTGTAAGCGCTGTTAAGCTTTTCGTTCAATGTCGATAATCCAACGCACGTGAACTCGACTTTAACCGGTAAATAAGACACCGATACGATACATTTATCAGCACTAATTGCACCAACACCCCAAAGACAAATCAATACTTTGAAAAAAATCTTCATTGTCTCAATTTGAATGACTCGAGCTCTTGTGTTCCCTTCGACTGAGCATCAGACTCATGAAGCATCCGGTCTCCGCAATCATATCTCCACCTTTTCCTGTTTCCCATCAATAATTACACGAGTTCTAGATAACGCCCCATTCCTAGAAAAATATTATTTTTGAGAATATTAAAAATTGAGAAAATCGAATGTAACATTTTTTATCACACATCAACAATCGTATATATAATATATATAAGTACATAAAATAATGTAATGATAATAATAATGTGATTCCAAAAAATAAAAAGAAATAAATAAATAAAAAAATAAATGAATAAAAATAAATAAAGTAGAAATGAAAAAATGAAAAAAAGGAAAAACCGTATTCGTATTTTCAAAATATATGATATAAATGTGAAAAAGCGCTGAGGAATGTGAAAATTTAATCTATTCGACGGAATATTTCCTCTGAACATTTCCATAGAAATTTTCCCGCATCCAGACATTTCCGGAGGCCATTTGTACCCCCAGAATTTTACAAACGCCCATTCAGCAGTTCTCATTTTAATATCTAATATTAAAATCTCGCAATGCCATATTCACAATATTTATTAATATTACCATCTCGAGTGCACGTATGAAGTGGACACACATGAGAAAAATCGTAAAGGGGAATCACCATCGAGATCCACCATTTTCCATTGTCGAGGTGGTGGAAAATATTGTGTCGAGTACATTGGAGTGAGTTTTGCAACAGATAGAATAAAAGACTGGGGGTTGGTTGTGTTTCAGGTCTTATCTCGGGTAAAAAGTTTCGCAAGAGCCTCCCAGCGGCCATTTGCAATCTACAATGTAGGTGGTATGTATTGTTTACATCTCCACTGTGACTTACATGCGACAATGAAAACAAAAAAGAAACAGAGGAGTGAAAACAAAATGCAGAGCAGAGGTACGAGTGCGTGTGCACGTGCCTTGGATTTGCACTTTATTTTTCATTTTTTTTTTTCTATTCTTTATTTTTTATTTTTCTTAGGAGGAGAATTATGAGGAGGACACCACCCTCTTGGGCCCATTCAAATGAGTATGGCACTTACTGGGGAGTGAGTCAGGGAATAAAACTGTGGAGAACCACGAGAATACGTACGAGGGGATAAATTATTGCATCCGAACTCGTAAAAACATCTATAAATATCTGGGGCCGTATAACCCATGTGCCCCATACCAACCTCGACATTTTATTGGTGCTATATTCAATTTCAGCCCTTATACTTGCTGCGTGATTAACCTCAAATTTTACTCTTCCCTTTTCTTCTGCCTTTGGTTTTTCTGGGACACTTGCTGTCATCAGGGGAATACTCCGGAATTTACTCCCGTTTTATCCCAGATTGTTGTGCCAATCTTATGAAATAATGCAATTGTCAAGAAATTAGGAGTCGGTCTGTTCGAGTACTTAACGAATCTTGAACGAGATCAATTAATTTGGAAGAGTTCGCGTTCGGTTGATGCGCGAATCAATTCTTTGATGAAATTGTCTTCTAGAATTTTCTCAATTTTTCTCAACGACTGTATCTCCTCTATCTTCTATTCTATTGCCCTTTTACTCTGTATGATTAACCTAAAATTTCTCTTCCTCTTTATTCTTTGAGGATTTTTTTTTTCACCGAGATTTTTTGCCGCTTCACGTTCTCTTGGCAACTTTCTTCAGTCCCCATGGGACGCTTAAGAAATTGACGCGGCTCTAAATGAGACCGCGGGGGATTAGAATGTGTTTTCTCATTTTTTTAAGTTTGTGTTATTTACATTCCCGGATCGTTTCCTCTGTTGCTGCAATTCCAGATTGTTTTCGTGGATTAAATTCTTTTGGATAGAAAGTAGGATATGCTTTTAGGGGAGGATTGTTGACGAATTAATGCTGCGGGGAGAATTGGGGTGAACAAAAATAAGAGTTCCAAATTTTCCGGTCTTCACTCGTCAAATTTTTGGAAACAATACATTAAGTTAATAACTTTATAATTATTATAATTCATTAAATTATGACTTGACATTCAGTTTAATATATACACTCGAAATAAATATTATATACTTTCTCTATCCTATTCTGAAAGGGACACACTTGACACAATCGATTATCTCGAAAATCTCGAAATCATGAAGCAACAATTCCTTATTGGTCCACCTAAAGTGGCGCGAGATTACAAAGTCGTAACTCTTACAGAAATCGTTTCAAACCCGCGCGCTGGCGCGCGGTACAGATTTTTTTTTAAATAAGGACAATCTACGCTGTGATAATAAGTTATGTATGTTAGGTTATGAGAGGAGACGAGTGTGGAAAATATAAAAAAAAGAATGTAGTAGAGAGGTAGATTGAGCCATGTGATGTAAAACAAAGAAAAACCATTTGTAGCATCAAAGAAATAAAAATCATTATCATTATTTTTAAAAAATTAAAAAAAATGATTATTACTCTCTCTATTTTCAGACTTTTGTACTGATTTTTTTTCATTCTACGTCGAGATGAATTTATTAATTATTAACAATTATTAATTTGGTTATATAGACTTGGTCAAAAATTATATTGATCTGAAAAATTTTTGAAAGCAAGTCCCGTCTTAGTCGATGGTTTTTTATCCCACGTGGTCCTAAATAATGTGTTTCGCAATTTTTTCAACCGAAAATCTCACATACTGTTTTTTTTAATTTGAATTTGAAAAATTCTACAGAATTGAAAGACGATAACTTATCGACGGATGAACAATATACCATCAGCTGCAACTACCACTTGTCGATGGATAAATCGTTAATAAAAACCCCTTAGTCTTCATTTTTAGTACGAATCTCTCGTTCTTGAAGATGATGACATTTTTGTTTATTGGCACGTGAGAAAACAAATTTGCTGTATGCCAAGAAAACTACAACTACTGTCAAAATAAAAATCATGGCGTACTCCATACTATGGTGGATTGCCATGTACGCGAAAAATGGTAAAGCAAGAAATGAAAATGATTGACAACTAATACCTGTTGTCAATGACTCACAATTGATCATTGGATAATACATCATAGCTAAATGTTTATCTTCGTGCGAATTACATTTGGCTACTAGTTTTTCATAACAATCATGACACAGAATTTTAGCGCAAACAAGATGTGATCCTTTTGTGGTTTTTAATGGCAAGATGTTCCCAAGTCTGTAAATTCCCGGATGATATTCCATATCCTCGAATACAAAAAAGTAGTGATCGATTAGACCGAAAAACTTTTTCATAGCTTGCACATGAATTTCAACTGTATGCATCGATTCTTCTTCCATTTTTAAATATTGCCACTATATAAAGGAGATAAAAAAAAATCATTCCTTTGAAATTCAAGAAATTAGGAATTATCATTTTATAATAATGACTAGAATAGAATTCGATCTCGCAACCACCAAATACTATTTTTATTCTGTAGATATATTAATTGTAACAACAGAGAAAATGATCCCTTTTAAAAAAAAGCATGTAACGTTTTTTGTCAGCTTTTTTTGGCGCTATGCATATCAAAATATATCTATATAATATGATATATATATATAATATATACATATATAAATAATATATATAATATATAATATATATAATAACATATATATAAATTATATTAATTTTTATTTATATAATAATATAATATATAAATTTAATATAATTTATTAAATTTTAAATTATTTTTTTTATATAAATTTTTAGACTTTTTTCTATCTTCTTTTTGAAATTCTATATATGTATATATTACATTGGAAATATATAAATATATATATATTCCAATGATAACACCCCATACGTGGACGATTTGGCGCGCATAGCGCGCCATATACGCTAGTGGGATAAAAAAATGAAAAAATCCGATTTCATCTGTTAATTAAAAATAAATAAATTAATTAATTTCTTCACGCGTAATAATTACTCTTCATGGAAGAAATTTTGTTTATCAGTGATAGCATGTGATGCAGGTTCGGGCGAGTATCGGACAAATTCGGGAATTAAGCTGAAAATTGTAAGATTTGTCGGAGGAAAAATAAATGTTTTGGATAATTCGAGTTGCCCAAATTAATATCAATCAATAGCACCGCTAAAGTAAGAGTACGCAGGCGTAGGGCGGGTTTCATCTCTGGTATTAAAAATAGGATGAGGAAGAAATGTCTGTTCTCTACGACCTGCCTCAGCAGACCTAAAAGTGATCAACGAGACCAAAAGAAAAATCGTCATCCTGAGACAAAGGATCCACAATCCCTTTGCCACATGACCTCATTGCTTATTTTTATGTTTAGTCCCAACATCTCTCTCTATGTTGATTAATTTTTGAAACCATAGACTCATAAAAATTAATTCATAGAAAACTGAGGCTGTATTCCAACAAAAGTTATTGAAAAGATTTTACAGCCACCGATTATGCAACTGATCATGCAATTCTTCCTGGTTAGTGTTTCATAAGAAGCTGCTATTGTCAAATTTACAAGAACTGAGAAAATTCCTACGTGACTTGACGTAATTTTTTCATGGAATATCGTTTTCTATTTGCTTCTTGTCTCGCATTTTTTCCTAGAACTTCAGATAAAAATTATTGAAGAGATTTGGCAGTCCATGATTACGTGACTAATCATGTATTTTTTTTCCGGTATTTTTCTCTCTGTAGGGTATAAGAACCACACGTCAATCTCTAAAAATGTTAGAGTGATTATTTTCTAATGACAAAAATTGTCGACTTAACAATCTGAAAAACAGCGTAAAAGATTCATCATGGCTTCAGGATTTATAATATTATTATTAATAGCTGTAGCAATTGTTCCAGGTAAGAGATGAATAATAATTTTCATTATGACAATGTCTCACATTCGATATGTCCAATACCTTGGCCATCTTCAATTGACTTCTGATTGTCTAGATTTGCTGCTAGTGAAATTAGAAGTTGGTGTCCATATGGTTCTGATTGGGTCCATGATATAAACCATAATTGATGAATATTTATAAAAATAATTAATCAACGGGATGGAAACCGAAAAATTAACACTAGAATACGAATGTCTCAATTTTTTCAACTAATGATGTCTCTCTCGTTTCCAAATAATCAAATAACATTGATAATTACCTGCTTATAATTATAATTACCTCTGTTCAAGTAGTTCTGTCGTGTGAAATTCACCAAGATTAGCATGTTCATGATAATTATAAATTATTTCTAGAGGTTCGACCGGGCAGTACTCCACCCTGTGCAATGATTCTAATCGATAATAGGCCCCCAAAGGTTGGAGCCCTGGTCACTCCAAACCGAGTTTTAGCAGCTGCCGCGAATTTTTCACCCTCACTTGACTCCGTAACAGTCCAAGTGGGATGTAGGCGGCCAACTCTTTGCCGTACTCCACCATCCAAAGTAGTGAATTATATGATAGACGTACCATCTAACATTGTAGCACTGACGGTAAGTCACCCAAGCTTCCCTAATGATAAACAACAATAATTAGGCATTACACTGAAAAAAAAAAATGTCTAGCCAATAATATTTATGAGATCTACTGCGCACTCCGTGCGCCGAATTCGAATTTCGACTTTGGATTCGAGTTGACCAATAAGGAATCAGTCTTACGAGTTTCGACTCAGGCGAACTTCATTTACGTATCTCTGCTTTCATGATAAGGATAATAAACAACAATAATTAGGCATTACACTGAAAAAGAAATGTCTTTAGCCAATAATATTTACGAGATCTACTGCGCACTCCGTGCGCCGAATTCGAATTTCGACTTTGGATTCGAGTTGACCAATAAGGAATCAGTCTTACGAGTTTCGACTCAGGCGAACTTCAGTTACGTATCTCTGCTTTCATGATAAGGATCTTTTTTTTACTCACAAGTACATTTTTTACTGATAAATACGATTTTTGCGGCGAAAGATTCCAACAAAAATCATATAGAGAATTTTGGTAAAATTACAGATAAGTCCTGTGAAGATTTTTTCGGAGAAAATTAATTAATCCACCATTTTTGCATAAACCTGACGAGTGCAATAAATGGTAGATTATATATATGTTTGCGTATATTATTCCTCTATCCCAATATATTTTAATTGGTTTGACTATTTTCTTAGAGAGTTCTCCCATTTTCATTTTTTATTTTTTTCAGATTGAGCATGACCCCCAGCTTAGGACGCCGATCCAGCCAACACCAATAGGTCCTCCAGGAGGATATTCTGACGAATTGTGTAGTTTCACGCGATTGGAGCAATTTCCCAGATGGATATGCTGGAAGTCTGTGTTAGTTCATAGTCCAGAAGAGTGTGGAACGAGCGGAATGAATGTTCCTCCGGGGCACGCATGTTTTACTTCACGTTACTCAGAAGAAATCATCGATGTATGTATCAATATAAACCGAGGGCCTATTTATACATTATATTTATAAATGTCTTTCACTAATTATTTCCATTTTGCCGAGTACATTTTCTGTTTTTTTTTTCTGACTGTAGGATGACGTTGGCGGTTTAATAATTTGCAATGACCACCTGATTGGAATCATGACCGGATATGATGAGCGACAAAATGAATTAAGTGCACAGATTATGTACGATTTCACTCAGCCTGGTGCGTTCCATTAAAAGACGAGCCGATGATGGGGTCCATGAGCCAGACGGCATTCTTCAAATTATAAAATCTTATGATAAGCTTGTGATTGCATCCCATGCTTGTATTTTAAACATTTAAACTTTTGCACTTTAAACGTTGTCATAGTATTTATGTTGCATTGAAAACAATTTTTACTGTAAAAATTACTAGGACGGTGTAATAAATAATGTCACAAATTTAATCGAAATTGCGATGTGTCTGGGAAATCTTCTACCAAAAGCTTTGATCCCTTAAAAAAAAAACGGGTAAGCTAAACTATGCATATCAATATATATATACATATATATATTCACGGTTATTTCCAATATAATATATACATATATAGAATTTCAAAAAGAAGAAAGAAAAAAGTCTAAAAATTTATATAAAAAATAATTTAAAATTTAATAAATTTAATAATTTAATTTAACTTATATATATATATATTATTATATATATAATATAGAATATATTATATATATTACGTATATTATATATCATATTATATAGATATATTTTGATATTTGCATAACGCCAAAAAAAAGCTGATGAAAAAATGTAAACAAAATTCTTATCACAATAAAATATTCTAATTTTTCATTAAAATTAAAATTACACAAGTTTCAAACACTGTATATCAATTGCATCTCCCTTGTACCTATTCATCTGTTTAAGCAGCTGGAGCTTGATCTGCCTGCAATGAGTGGTATTTAATTCATAAAGAGTACTCATATTCAAAATTATAGGCTCTTGGAGATTCCTGATCGGATTCTTCTTGACAACGTTTTCCAGCAGGCAAACAGCGGCCTGTAGCTTTCCAGTGTACAACAAACAAACCGACATATTATTGACAACCATAACATTGTCAGGTTCCTGCTTGAGGGCGACCTGAAAGCAGTCATGGGCCTCTTGAAAGGCGTTCTGAGTGACAGCCATGAGCCCCCGGTTGATCCACTCCCTAGAGGTGGTGTTCCTGGAGGTGTCCTTGGAGAGGAGTTTTCCCTCAGCCGCAGGGATGTCCCCGAGGAACAGGTGAAGTCTTCCCAATGCCAACTTGAAGATCTCCAGCTGCTCGTCCTGCCAGTTTGGAAATTCAGATATCTCTTCGAGTACTTCTATAGCGAGAACAAAATTTCTGGCAGCCACTGCACAATTTACTATCGAAATCATTATTTTGGATCTCCTTCTGGACCAAAGCTTCACCGAGTCCTCCCTCTCGACTGGAGAACAGGTGGCTTTTCCCCCTTCCTCGGAGAGCCCCTGTCCCAGATTCTCCAGGATATGATTAACAGTCCCAAGGATGGCGTAGAGTTTATCGAGGGATTCCCTGTGGCAGCCGCAGAACGAGGGAATCTCAGCGAGAAGAAGTCTGAATGAGAAAGAAGCCATTGAACCATGACGAGTCCCATATAGCTCAGGGTGGAAGGAGAAGTACATGTCGGGCTTATCCAAATTTCCAAAAGCCTGATGCTCAGCCTTGAGGACCTCCACCTGTCGAAGTTTACTAAGAAGTGAGAGTCTGGTGTACCACAGCTGCAGGGAGTGAGGGGTGTGCTTGCTGGGATGATCTATTTTTCCAAACCCCTGACCATAGACTCCCAGGAGTCGACCTGAAAGATTCACAGCTGCTCTGTAACAGCCAGCCTGAATCAGGTTCCTCAGACCTCTCTCGTCCTGTGTAACATCTGATGCTGTCAACACGTTCCTGTGCATGTGCTCATCCTCTCCATAATAATGGATTGACGCCTCTCTTGTGGCATCTAGGATGTCCCCCTGAAGGGTTAATCCTGGCATCGTGAGGTTCTCTCGATTTGGCGGGCTTCCTCCAGGAGGTGATGTCGCTATCGACAGCAGAATTTTTCTGGTGGTGTCTGAGGGAATCCAGGCGTCTCTGTGGTAGTCAGGAACACTCAGATCTGAGGGCCTCTCCATCTCGAAGTCACTCTTCAGGAAGGACGGGCCCACCAGTGGATTTATTCCCTCTAGATCAAGCTCTGGAACTTCTCGGTGAGAAACTATCTCGTCGAATACAGTTGGTGGCGTGTTCTCGAAGTATCTCCCCAGCTGCTGGGGTCCTTCAGCTTTCTTTAAAGAAAAGTCGACATTTTTTGGTGGAATTTGTCAAATATTTTCAGGCGAAATGAGACAAATTACATATGAAAAATATTAAAATAAATAAAAAAAAGAATATTAAAAATATACAATCCTTTTCTCACCTGCTGCTCGCTATTTTCCATCATTATTTTTGTCAGACCCTTGGGTTTTTCATTTATAATTCTTGGAGTATGACAGCTGACAGGATTTCACATTTAGGTTAGGGCTCACAAGAGTTTCCATGTGAAATTCAATGACGTTTTGCTTGAGGCGCTTGTGACGGGATTTTCTAAGTCCACTCGATCAATAATTCAGTGTATCAATTAATCAATCTGCAAAATTGCAATTGTAATTAAGTAAATACTGTAGTCAGATTTTTAGTTTTGACAAAATCAGGCACTAACAATAAATAAATAGATTCCTCTTATTTTTGATTAAAAAATAACAGCGACTTACAGCTGATGCAGCAGTTTTCGCAGACGAACCGGCACTCGAGCTGACGGGATTAGAAAACAGAACGTAATTCAATGTATCTGATACTCCCATTCCCGTTTCCGAGATCCAATCGAAATGTTTTTGATGGTCAAGACCAAAATCCACACGCTAAATTCTCTTCAATCCATTATTTTTCACTGACCATTGGATTTTACGGGATTGCACTTTTTTTTAAGAGAGAATTATTTATTAGGTTAAGAATTTTCGCAATTATCGTATCTCGTCAAATGGAGACTGCCCGCGGTGTTCTGTACGCATGGACGGTGTGCGTGCGTATACTGAAGTCAGCATAAGTTTTAACATTGATTTTAGGAGTGGGGGACATGGTTACAAGTGATAACTACGTCGAGTGGGGGTACCCAGAGAAGTAAAAACTTATGCTGACTTTAGTATATGCACGGAGTATCGCCTGGCGACCCCCACTCGAGTGGTCTTGAGTGCGCATGCAGGGTGTTCTGTGCGCATGCGGGGTGCTCTGTGCGCATGCGGGGAGTATCGCCGGGGGACCCCCCACTCGAGCGCCCCCGTCTCCAACGCCCTGCCATTTTCAGTGGGGAGTCAGTCGTTCCCCGACCGCGCGTCGAACGACTAGTCGCGCGTCGCGTAGTTAAAATTCGTTAACATCGCGGTCCTAGTGAGCGCAAAAAACCGGCGCCGCGTGTGAACATTGAAAATACAAAGTGCGGGACTCAGTGCAAGTGATTTTGTGAATTGTTTAGTGTGT